CAGCACACAATCCAGTATTCCATTTAAATTTGGAGCGTCATTTCATCACAACTTCTCATCTCACATTCATTCTTCACCTGGTGTGCAGCTTCATGATCAATACAGCCGAAGGAGATGCAATAAGAAGCTTTATTAATTCTCCTCTGGTACTGTCACTCCTCTCTCCCCCTGCCCTACACACACAAACCCAACTACCTTTCAGCCTTCCTGCTCCAGTTCCATCTTTGTGTCCTCACTTTACGACTGAATGCCATGTGTGATCCCTACCAGAAGCTATTAAGTGCAAAACAATATCCCCTTTATGACCCATTAACATTACCAAACACTGCACCCCTGTGACACAGATAAAACAATGGTGTATTGACAACAGTTATTTTTAATGATACACAAATTTTTTGATATGCAAAGCATACCTCAAGGTCTCAGACATGAAAAGTTAATTGACAATTAATGCGCAGAAAGACAATACATTTGTTGTTCAAAACAACTGTACTTTGGTGAAAAATACTAATACTACCATTGGCCTTTGCCTCCCTGTAGGTTTATATTTTCAGTAGTCTGCTGGAAAACGATTAGTATCTTAGCAATTATCAGATCCCGATGAAAGCTGTAGGTACAATTACATCTACTGAATAAAGTGTGTGAACTTATCTATTAGCAACCAAGCTAAATTAAGTCTTTAGCAAGCTTTGAGTTTAATTTCCCTCTTCAGTAACTTAACTAGCTAACTACTAATTTTACTCTTCTTTGGTTTGCTGCTGTGTTGTGGGGTATCCACCATAGCACCATGGTACAATGTACCCCTAAATCCAAAGTTACTCGAGACAAGATTGAGCAGATCTTTGAGATCTGAATGAATGTAGCGGAGATACACTTGGGAGGACCAGCGGCCCGTGATTTGTACTCTGTGATGACATTGCAGGAGACCGAGGTGTTGGCTCCAACCCTGAAGAGAAGAGAAGTGCTGGATAATGAGTGTATTCTGGTGGCACCAGAATTGAGTAGCCATATCCAAATCAGAGATGGAGAGTTTGTCTTGGTTATGCTCTGGAATTGAACAAAGTTTGGTTTTTGAAAGGGTTCAGCGATGATTGGAGTTTGAAGTAAAAGTCGGGGTAAGCTGATGGATTGATTGGTTTTAGTTCGCTTTCAGTAAGATACCATGGTGTCAGCTGAGAAATTAAAAGCCTTAAATGCGGTCATGACAGTTGGAGGTGGAGATTTCCAGATATCAGAGGTCTGAGCAACAAGTATCCCTATCTGATGATGTAGATGCAGAGTGACGGCAAGTCTGGGTTAAGAGGAAGGCTGCAAGGATTTGGGGCTAGCTCTTGATGTAGAAGGCCTCTGAGACATAAATTATCTGGGGATGTTTAGAGGTAAGGCCAGGGCTTCCAGTTGGGAGTTAGAAGAAAAGGTTATTGCTGCTATGGCAAACTTTGATGGTATGTATTTGATCATGGAATGGTCGTAGGAAATTAAAATGGTCAAGGTGAAAGGATCAAACAACAAGAAGGTTATGGTGTACTGGTCGTGGGTTGAGGGTGCTATACTGTTAATGATCAGGGTTATTAGGGCAGGATTTACATGTTGAACATCAGCACCAAAAATGGAGGAACTGGTGTTTGGGTGGGTATCTGCATGGGGGGGACCAAGATTCTGAGCTTCTGGAATGCAAAATGAAAAAGCGAGTCAGCAATGGCATTGAAATGACCAGATACGTGAGCTGCGTGAAGAACATATTGGTGAGTAACGCAGTGCCAGTTTAGGTGGCTCATGAACGGCATGATGTATGGGGGATTGGAGTGACCTTTGTTGATTATCTTGATGACTGCTAGGTTGTCAGAGTATACCCCTGACATTTTTATATGTATTTCCAGTTATTGAGTTTTTATAGTAGTTTTGCGGTTGTAAACATTACTGTTGACGTTAAAATGTAAATCTATTCCAATACTGTTCTGAATTTAATGATAATTTTAAAAAAGGGCTGATGAATTGGCTATAAGTCGGATTAATAAGTATCAGTATTGGTGCAGTGCAGCCTGTTTTACCAATTTTGTTATAATTATTTTAAGGCACAAGGCTTATATTAAAGAGGTCATATTGTGCTTTTTTGGCTTTTCCCCTCTCCTTTATTGAGTTGCGTAACTTTTTTGTGCATGTAATAGGTTTGCAAAGTGAAAAAGCCCAAAGTCCACCCCAAAGGGAGTTCCCATCTCCCACAGAAAACACTGCTCTGAACTGCTTGAAAACAGCTTGTTTGTAGTCCAGCCGTCCCCCCCCCAAAAAAAAAGCAAAACTGTAGTTAAAACGAAGCGTTCAACACAGGGTGAAAAGAGGAGCTGCAGCAATGTGCAGTATGACAAAAAATAAGGTGTTTTTTGAAAATAAAACCATGCAAACCTGTTCTGGTACAACCCCTAAATAAGATTTTGAACCTGAAAACCTTTAAGTTACCGTAAATAATCCTAGTTCAAGTGAAAATGTTTTAGTCAAATTACTTAAAAAGATTACAACTCTCGACAGCAAGAACGAAGTGAACAGAACACCTTTGTTTATCTAAGTAACATTAGCTGTTAGTGTTAGCAGCTAAAGTTACTTCTGCAAGCGACACACAGCAACATACAACTGTGTATGCTCTCTTTGCATCTTTCTTGTAAAATACATCCAACAACCCACAACAAGCACATTGTGGCAAACCCCGCTTACCGGCGGAATCAAAGGTAAGCTAACTGTGTCTGAACGGGAGGGCTCGTCACGGATGAGGTCATCAGGTGAAAGGTCATCATGTGGGTCAGTTTATTTACTGCAAAATTATTAATTCACTTTACTAATAGTTTGATTGGGCAGGCCTTCACAAATTTAAAAAATAAATAAATTAAGGACATTTTGCGTTGACAAAAGAGCACTTTGGGCAAATGCGCAGGTGCTAAAGCACCCAGCGCACCCCCCTCTGCACGTGTCTGTTAGAGAGCACTTCATTTGAATCAAACCTCTAAATGCTAAGGGGGTAGCTTCTAATCTGTTAACTCAACCAGTCTTTTGATGATTTAGTGAGAAGGTCCATATCTGCAGCTGCAGTTAAATGTCTGCTTCAATTTACATCAAAACCACACAGGAGCTAAGGATTAAAGTTCAGCCGTGTTTAATGAAATCTGCCTCAGGTCTTATGTATGATACCTGCACAAGTGATGTAGAGTCATGCACCCCGGTGACTGTCACAGGTAGAGTCATGCCTACATGAAAGGGAGCCACTCATCTCAATTTAAAACATTTTCAATTCTCAACATCAAAAGTCAGGTCGGCATTTTTCAGTTAACCTCCCCAGAATGTGTTTCACGGTAGCTGCAGTGTTCATGTTCATACATGTACTTCCTCTGTAGCAACAACATGATATGAAAGCATTAACAATTTTGCCAGAGGTGAAGGCTCTTGGATGAAAACTTCTGAATTGTGGTGCACATAAAAAATTGGGTGTGGTTTTCCTGCCCTCACACACACACACACACACACATTCCAAATTTGCACCAAATTCATTTTGATTCAACCTTTAACAGAGTCTGTACAAAAAGCAAATATTTAACATAACACAGCCGGGTCGATTCAGCCATTCTCCCAGGAAGGGAGTGGAACTATGCTTTAGAGGTTGTTCAAAAATTATTTCACACTGAAGCAACTCAATACAGGGTCAAACTGTAAGGAACATGGCAGTACTGAATGGGGATGGTAAGATTCACCAATTTGCATCAGTGCACCGGCAGAAAAGTTCAAGATGCAATTGCCCCGATAAAAATAGTGTTCACTGGTTACGGTTTGGGATGAACTCTTGATGCATCATTTCTCACATCTTTGCAGTAAAATCCAATTTATTTAAATACAATTATTAATAGGGGCCATATTCCTCAACTATTTAGAAATGTGACCAATAATTCTTTATTGGATAGATTCCTCCTCTCTAAAGAGAACTGAAGAAGCCCCTCGAATGAGAGGCAAAGACGTCTTATAACTATGACCTGGATGACTGAGAATCTTGCATATTGCATCAGCCTCAGTGATGGAGATGCACATGGGTAGTACAGATGTGTGGCAACTGTAGTTTCAGATCCTAACTTCTGCTCTCAAATGATGCAAACTATATACATTAAGCACAGCATGTACTGCAGTTCTTTATACTTATGGTTCTCTTTTTCTCATTGAGTCTTAAAATAGCAGTACTGCAATTGTCTGTACATCTGCCCATGACCCCCTCTCACTGCATTGCAAATCAGAATCAGTTTTATTGCAAGGAATTATATGCCTAACTAGCCTGCTGCTTTTAATAAAGCTTATGTAATAGTGAAACAAATACTTTTGTGCGTTCATGAGAAGGGTTCGCCACATTCAGCGCCCACCGAAACCAATGAGGGCGGAGTGGTGGTGGGTTATTAAACCCCCCAGCGCTGAGTGAGCATTGGTGCTGGCTTGTTGACGGTGTGTCACACCCCTTGTTGCACGATGGAGGACCCTTTCTTCAAATATGAGTTACATGTCACTACGCCCATAAACATGTAGCTTTTTTTAATTCCGAAACTACACTAACATTTCTGCCTCACCATACACAGGTTAACAACACAGCCTAAAGGTTATATTGTGTTTAATTTTATTTTTAAAAAGCTCTTGTCTGAATCTTGTTCATCTCATATGAAAATCTTCAGCCAAAACAAGAGTAGCATAAAACGACTGAATAGAACATGACAACTACATACATAGGGGTATCACTTAACAAGCAACAAAGGCATTAAAGAAAGATTAAATCTTTACACATTTTAACTATTTTAATTGCTTCACTATTCTTCAGACCATATAATGCTTCAATATAATGTAATATGTTTGATTTCTATTGTGAAATGTATTTGTGTTAGGACCATTTGTATTTGTGAATGTAATATTTTCCATATAAAGATAACAAGGTTCAAAATATGAAGTCTTAAAAAATCAAATATGATAATATCTCTTTTCATAGATTAACAGCTGAACCAAATCAATGTCTTAAAGAAATATTATAAATCTAACCCAAATAATTTGGTACATTTATAATAATTAAATAAATGACAAATGGTTTCAGTTTCGTCATTGCAAAACACACGCTTTCCCTCAATATCATTCCTGAATCTTAATACAGCTGTTTGTTTGATAGACCTATGGTAGCAGTGAGTGGCTGTGAGGGTGACTCCGACCTGATTCCACCATGACGGAGTGGAAGTGCCGAGGGTCTAGTTTAGGAAAGGCTTTATAAGAGTCAGGAAAAGATCCTAGAGAGGGGTGTGCGACAGGACGGGTACCTACAGGAGACAAAACTCTTCTGAGGCTGAGAGAAAGCGACAGAAGCCTGAAGAACTCGGAGAAGAGAGTGCAACTACTCGGCTGGACACGAGGGGGCGGTGTTGTAACCCAAGTCCCTGATAGTGGCGGCCTATGGGAAGGGTTTTCCTTGTTTTGTAGGGTCTGGGACAGGCTTGGGACTGCCACAGTGGTCCTTGAGAGATGGGTTGCACTGCAAACAAGAAAAAAAAAAATTAACAGTGTTTTCAGGGGAATTAATCCAAATTCGTTTTTAACCTACAAATAAATTAAATTATTATAACGGTCTTATTATCTAAGATGGACTGATATAATCATTTTTGTCATTCTCAACACAGATTAGAAAGTAAAATAATTTTGTCAGCAAAATATTAATATTAACTTTGTGAGTGAGATGTGAATCATGCAAGTTTTAACAGCAATACCTGTATGTTGACGATTCAGTGTAAATCAACATTTGTGACAATTGTAGACTAAGACGTACTTTTTATTTGCCCACTGGCCCCACATACACAACACAGAGGAGTGCTTAGCCCTATAAGAAGAAAAAATACTAAGGGTGCAGGTGACCGAAATGGGGGTCCATATGTGTCTCTATCCATCCTAAGGCAAGGGATTTCCATGTCAGACATGGAAAAACCTACTCCTCCTCCCTCTACCTCCTCCCTCTACCTCCTCCCTCTACCTCCTCGAAGATGTTTCGTCCCACATCCAAGAGATTTCTTTAGTTCTGACTGACTGGTAGGGAAGCTTTTTGACCTCTGTGGGGTCGTTTGCCAGGATCGTTGATACCGCTTTATGTGCCTGTGAGCATGTAAATGCTCGTATTTGTATAGCGCCTTTCTAGTCTTTTACACTACATTCACTCACTGAGCCTAAGTGCTCAAACAGAAACTAACATTCACACACTAGTGGAACAGCCACCAGGGACAAACTGGGGCAGGGGATTTGAACCGCCGACCTTTCCAATTAACAGGCAACCCGCTTATTGTGGAATCTTAAACCAGCAGCTCTCTGGTTTGACACTTTTTTTTTTTTTTAACACTTTAGCAGGACAGCATCCCGGGCTTCCCAAACGTACTTCTTCTGACTGATGTTAAATGCGTATTTTGATGCTGCAGCCTACACAGAGATTTTTACACCCCTTGAGCTCGAGCCAGGAGCCAAAAATTAGTTTCTGTTGTCTTGACCTCAACCCTCCATCTCAGTAGGGACAGAACTGCTACATTCCCACCTCTTTGGTTTATTTTTACACAAATATTTATTTACAAATTTTAAATAAAATCCATAAATCACATATATATGGGGCCAAGGACTGATGTGCAGCTATTTTTGCTGTGCCCTTTGCTGGGCAGAAATCTTGGCGGGCCTTGAGATAGAGCCAAGAACGACAAAAGGTATATATCAAAAGTTTATGTGTAATAAATAAAAGCAATTTCGGCTATGTTGGATGGGGGTTATGATATGACAGTATTATAGAATGAACCATTTTGAACCCTTCTGGGCTCTTTTATAGGATGCTTTACAAACTGACTGCAGCAGCAGGGTCTGAAGGGCAAACTGAAAAATGTGCTTTCATCAGAGAGGAATAAAGTTCTTGTAGGATTTATTATTATTAATTATTATTATTATTATTATTGATCTTGTATCCATGCAGTTGGCATGTACGAAATTCTCAAAAAAAAAAAAAATTATATATATATATATATATATATATATATAGCGAGACGGAGGGCTAATCTGATGGTTGTATGAGTTTTTTTTGTTTAGAAAATAACTTTTATAAACTAATTGACATGAGAAGAATCTCTTCAGCAAATTGACTACAGAAATCTTAATAAGGGGAGCTAGGCACACATTTAATATGTCTCTGTGCACGTTTTACTTTGTGTCGCTGCTTCCTTTATGTTACCATGACACCATTCAAGCTATTTGTCTAGACAAATGTTTCTAGTCCACAGTTGTGACTTTCACATAAAAATGACTCCCATATTTGACAGACATGATATGTTATATTGTCATCTCATTGATGTAAAGAGGTAGTTATAGTTTTTAAAAGTGCAATATTTGGAATAGACCAATCAGGCTGACTGGTGTCATGTTTGTAAGGAACGTTTGGCTCACTATCAATTTAACATCCAGAAATTTGTTCTCTGTCCTGAAGGGTTTTTATTGGTTTGAACTCCTACATGAGAGAATATCACATGCATGTTAAATAAATCAAATGTACGGGGCGCCAGTTAGCTCACCTGGTGGAGCATGTGCACCATTTACAAGCGCACATACACCAGCATGGCATCCCCGCTCTCTCTCTCGCATTTCCTGTCTCTCTAATCAAGCTGTTCTATTAAATAAAGGCAAACATTTTTTTAATCTTTCCATTTTCTACAGTGCACTCTCCATTTTCTGAAAATTAAAATAAATATTCTCCACAGGCTGACAGAACTCATAAATATATACATATTTAACATGTTTAAGAAAAAACAGGGATATAAAATAATGACCTTATCTGTCATAGCTGAGTTATCACATCCACTGCCATCAGGTCAGGGTAATGAACTGAAACAAATCCACAACAAATCAAGAAATAAAAGCAACAAGCTAAAAAAAAAAAAAAAATCAGCCCCATAGCACTTGCAAATTGTGTGTCATATTCATTTGAAACACTGCCAGTGAAGATGAGGAAATGAATTTATGGCATTATGTGGCTCCATTTGTTCCTTATGTTGCTGAGCTCAATCTGTAATATCATAAAACTATTATTTGCAAGATTAATGAGGAAGTTGTGTTTTATGTTGTCCCTTTTCAGCACACAGATATTTATCACAATATACAAGCAACAAGGAAATGAGAGACAAATGCAGGCATACACTCCTGAAATTAAAGATTATATGAAAGATACGTTACTATTAATATCATTAGGGTGGTTCTTGGTATCTTTAGTAACCTTTTTAATTAACTCAGATAATAAAAGAAGATAACTTACTGTGTACAACAGAAATCATATGCAAGTAAATCTGTAAAGTTAAGGGAACATTTTTTAGTCCATTCTGCTTTTCTAAACATGTTCCCAAGGTGTGGTCTGTTTTATATTAGATTCAGATTCATTCTTTATTGTCCTCAGTGGATGAAATTTGTTTTCACAATCTGTACAAACAGGGCAGGATTTAAGTTCCCTCAAAAATTGTGGCCACCACCATCCATCCATCATCCAGTCAGCTTGAAAAAAATTCTGTTATTAAAAAGAACATTTTAGAACACTGTACAGTCTTTTGACAGGCATGTGAGAGTTCATACAGTCTGTAAATCTGATGGGTCCTGAGATCTTGAATTACCAGATAATTTTACCTGTTCACACCATTAAAAATATTCAATTAAACAATCTGAGCAGGATAACTACCCATTTAAATTATATTAAGGCTTAAAGTTATGCCTAATTCAGGCCGTGGCCACATTGGGTGACAGGTGGGTGCGCTCTGAGGTGGTTAGCTGCAGCAACCAAGCTGCGTTCCGCCCGCCTCAGCTCCACTTCTTTCCCAATTTGGATTAGCCAGAGTCGGGCACTGTCTCCCACACTGAACTTCACAGTGGCTCTTCAGAAACTTGAGGTGATGTCACGGACACTACGTCCATGTTTCTCCGCATTAGTGTGGACCAGAGACTGGCTCTGCACAGTGCACAGTGCCCAAAAAGTACTTTCTGTTAAGGCAGAGGTTGCTGACTGGTAACTCTACATTTCAGTTGATGGGACTCTTGCTTTTAGGTTGGTTTAAAGTATATGTATGTGTCACCTACACTCATCCTCTCCTCCCACTCCTTCGTCTCGATACCCGAGTGCTCTGTTTTCCTCTCGCTTCTCTACCACAAGCCTAAATAGCACATGGCAGAGTTACATATATATATACACACACCTTTCACAGACTCACAATCAGGTACAAAATGTTGTTTGTTGCCTGCATTTCAATGAGATCCTAGGTTATTGGAAAGTGTGCTGGGGAGCTTCAGTTCATATCTGTTTTCTTTGTCCTCTCTCCCTGAATCCAGCAGTTAAATAATACATCTTTACCGCCCAGCCCGAGACCGATGGTTGAAGGTCGCAGGCACCGACAAGCCCCAAAGGCCACCACTGTCCTGGGGTGCCTACGTGACTTGAGGCTGTGCAAAGCCTCAGGGACCAGTATATACCTGCATACCTACTGGAGGCTGTTCATCCATGAGCCATGAGACTGATGACTCCACCCACCCTCTGATGTCAGAGGCCATCTATTACATCCACAGTGGTTTAACTGTACATAACAAAAGTACATAACTATAACCAAACACACAATGCTCTGATCACAATAGTATGTGGTCCTGAATTCCAGGTCCAGGGGATAGCACTGTGGCCTCACAGCAAGAAGGTCCCAGGTTCAAACCCCGGTCATCCCGGCCTTTCTGTGTGGAGTTAGCATGTTCTTCCCGTGTCTGCATGGGTTTCCTCCGGGTGCTCCGGTTTCCATATACTCCACACTGATATAGATCTGGAGTTGGACCCCGAGCCCTGCATAGCGGCTGCCCACTGCTCCCTTGAGGGATGGGTTAAATGCAGAGAATGAATTTCGCAACATGTATATGTGACAATTGTTGCATGGTAACAATCAAAAATAACTTAACCATACATGTCTTAAGTTTTTTTATGTCAACAATCGATCAAACAACTGTGACACGGAAGAGGTCGCATGTGGAGAAAAGACCCACAGAAAATGATTTACAGAGCATTTTAACGTCCTTCAGCTCATTGTTGGGGCCTCCAGTGTTGTCTCGTGTACTCCCCTCCCCTGTGTTCAAAGTGCTGCTGTGTCTATGTTTTTGTGCAGGCATGGTCTCCTCTGGCACACCTGTCTGCTGTCAGCCCATCATCTCCCGGCCTACACACACCTTCCCCTCAGCGGTACATCTATCCAGGCTCAACTCCCACTCGTCGCCAGATCATTGCCTCTGCTGCAGTGGTCGTCTAGCTCAGTAGAGTTCAAGCGCCGACTAGGTTTTTTTGTTGTTGGTCCTTACTCCTGGCCTGTTGCTAACCACACCTTTCCCCAAACTCTATTAATCCAACCTAAAGATCAGAAGAAAGAACACATGCAATTTCATAACTATACCCATGAACACTTCAAAGCAATGTAAAATCCCTTTCTGAGTCAGAAGGTACTGACAGAACAGGCTCAATTTCTTGATCAATTTAATTGTTTCCTCTGGTGACACAATTTTATATGGAATTACACTGATCATATTTTTTTAAATAATGGCGTATTATTTTTTAATGTTACAAAAGAGTTCTGAGAAAATGAAGAGTTTGACAGTACAGCAGCACTTTGTGAAATATTCATAGATCTACACCTCAATCTGTTCAGTGTTAATTATTAAGGAAAAAACATATTTTATCCTGTTTTCTCCCTGCTCCCTTTTGCTTGAATAGACAGAGGGCCCTAACTGGCCACTGGACATGACAGCAACAGTGTTGGGTATATATATTAAAATCCTCTTGACAGCCTCCAGCCATTTATCTGTTCTGAACAACACAGAGCGCATCTGCCTCCTGCTCTAAAATGTACAATGGAACTTCAGGTTCCCTCTGAACATTGAAATGCAGGAGACGAATTCGCATAGTTGCAGTTAGACTCCCGAATCTACTTTCCCTGATAGCACCTATTATCATTTAATAGGCTGTTCCCAAACTGCTTCCTCAAGCCTTTAGCTTATCTGTTCTGCTCTCTCTGAGATAAATCACAGAGTCACCCTGAGTTCTGCTTTGAAGCACCGTTGGAATACAGACAGGTCACCTGGCAGCACAGGCCTGAAGTAAATGTCAAGCGTTTATACCCGAAGGGCCACACCCGAAGGCAGAGCAAAAAGCCTGCCATCATAGAGAGGGGTGAGACGTAATAATCACACAAATTGGGATAACAGCACACACTTTGAGACAGTCTCTCCATAAACGATTCATGGTGCAGCCCAATTCCTGCGTCAGAAAGGTGCGGGGGTTTCTGAAGTTGTCTGACAATCTGATAAGCTGTTCTGAAGAAGTGCAGTGGAAGGGTAAATGCACACTTAAAAGGCCTAACTAACCAAAGGCAAACTTGGAGTTAACATAAATACCTCCCTAATATATGCACCAGGAGGCAAGAGGCCACTCTTCAGAGGATTTAGTTATAAAAACTTTCCGAGTAAAACTGCAGAGTGCATGCAACTTGTCTACAAGGCCTGATATATATAAACTGTATGTCAGGGTTTTGTGGTTGAGCGCAGAGGAGGTGAGAGCCCAAACGCAAGACACCAGAGCAGAGATTCAGTTCAAAGGATTTTAATCCACAACGGCAAGGCACAAGGCTTACAGGTTGGAGGCCGGCAAAATCCAAAAACGACAGGAAACTCATCACACGACACAACACAGTGTATTCATACAACAATGACCGGACACAGACTGAGGAAACAAATAAGTATATATGCACACATGGGAGCAACACAGGTGACCGGGATCAGGTTAATAAGGCAGGCAGAGAGACAGTTAACCCAGAACACACAAGTACACAGACCAGAAGTAAACACTAAGACATGAACTGAGACACAGGACTAGGACACAGGGCTGAGATGCAGAGCTAGACACAAGACAGATACTAAGTAAACTTAAAGATGCGGATGAATAACATAATAAACAAGGCTACACAGAATACATGACAGACAGGTTCAAAGTGAGCTAAACAGAACCAGTAAATGAACAAGGGAATACACAAGACTGAACAGAGAACACAAGACCAGGAACCAAAACCACAGACAGAAAACATGGACCAACTGCTAAACTGCTGAAGTTTAAACTAAACAGGACAGCAACAGGGAACTAAACTTAAACATGGCCGACAGGCAGAATGTGACACTGTACTGTGTATTGCATTTCCTCGCTTTCTTTTTCTCTCCTTGCTGTCCTCTCCTCAAACATCAGATTCTTTTTACTTCTTCCTGTACCACCACCTCCCCAACCAAGACACACACACAAAGACACCACAGCAGCCCGTTCTCCTCCATTGAAATTCTGAGCATAATTTCAACACAACCTCTCATCTCACCCCGAGTTCTTCATGCCTGTGCTTCACGATCTATACAGCCAGAGAGATGCGATAAGCTTTACTACTTCTCCTGACTTCTTGTCCCCTACCCCCCCCCCCCCCACACACACACACACACACACCCCCAATAACCTCTCTGCCTTCTAGCTTTAGTTTTGTGCCCTCAGGTCACGACTGAGTTCCATGTACAACACCTGCCAGAAGTGAGTAAGTGCAGAACAGTAGTCATGTATGATAACATGAGGACTGGTTGGTGTCAGCAACATTTCCTGATTTTGTGTTTTTCCAAAGCTACTTGTCAAACACAAAGGAAAAACCTCCAACCTGCTTTTCTCTGGCCAAACAGCAGAATTTGCCAAAAGTGAAGTTTACGCACATTGTCCTCCACACTGCACCCAAATGTCCCTGCACACCGCACCTTAAAACGCAAGTAAATACTCTGTGCAAATTGTGCGTCAT